AACTGACCGTTTTCTGACCATGGACGTTTTCAGACGATCTTTGGACCGTGAAACGGCCACACTGAAAACGGCAAGTTAACGACTTGTTTACTGGGCGTTTTTCTGCCGTTTCCATAACGTTAACGCGACGTTTTTTGTGTTGACCGTTTACTGGAGATTAACTGGCCGTTAACGGGCCGTTTTTTTGGACCTGGGGAATTTTAATTAATTTAACTCGATAAACTAATTTGAACTGGTTAAAACTCAATTGATTTTAATTAATTTATCAAGTTAAATCAATTTAAATTGATTTTTAATCAGAAAAAAACTAATGCGAACTAATTTAATATGAGACTTTTTTAAATTAGTTCGTATAAATTTCCAAAAGTTCCAATGGGAACATTACGCTGAAACGCAAAATGTAGGAAATTGAAAGAAAATTGTTGTTGCAAAAGTCATGCATCGTCATTTTTATGAGTTGAATACAGAATCATAGAAAGATTTTGGAAATTTCCTTTACAAGCAGATTTAAAACATGTCCTCTTGACTGTACTTGCATGCATGTATTTGGTCAAGTGCTCTCGCAAGTTTTGTCCAACGTTCTTGCGCATTTTTGCAAGTATACCAAGTACTTGAATTACTTTATCTCCTTATCAAGTCCTATGCCAAGCACTTGCCCACGTAACCCCTACCTGTAGGAGGTTCAACAAGTAAATCAAGTACGTAGCATGTGCTTTCAGGTATTTATCAAGTAGTGTTTTTTTAAAATACTTCTCAGATGCTTCTCAAGTTTTCGTGGAACTTTGCAAGTAAACAAGTACCTACTCGCAAGTACACTCACTAGGGTGGAACTAGCATCACATGGTTCTTTAATTTTGCTCTCTTTCCACACCTGATGTCGCTAGTCGGCAGTACTTTTAACGCCAGTCTTCCAAGATGTACTTCAAATTAGATGTTACTTTTGAGAAAATTCTCCATTCATTAAGTGAAATTGTTTCAAATTATTGCAATTATACTCTTTTAGATTACTTGTTCATTGGGGAGGACCCTTACAGGTTAAAAACAACATGATTGTTGGCGTTGAATTACACTACTCTGTCGTTTCTTCTACACAGAATGGTTGACATGGTAGAAGCACAGTGTTCAGTCTGTTTCTCAGGTCAGGATAAGCTAGAACTGATATTCAGGTGTACTAGATGACTCTATTCTGATTCTTAATCTACACCAATAATTCCTAATGCAATTTAACCATCTCGTTTGAAACTTTTCCTGTTTATTTTGGATAACCCACTATTAGTGGATCTAAAACAGATAACTGCACATAATGAGATTCTTCTCTTATGTTTACTCTATTTTTCTACTGCAAAAACTCATTGTCGGCAGGAGATGCACGGAGGATCTATTTTTCAGAACTCGTCCTACCCAGCTCGGTTACTTTAAAAATTGTCGCCGCCAAAAAGAAAATTTTTCACTCCGCGAGGATTCCGTAGCGTCACTTTGAAAATGTTTAGTATAACACTTTTTTGCCTCTCCGATGTCGTATGTAAATTTTTCTAATCGCAAAACGTCACATTTTATTTCAAAACACTTAGAGTATTCCATACATAAATAAATCAAACGCATCGTGTTATTTTTTTTATAGAATGGCGATAATAATATCGTTTACTGTTTTTGTATTTAGATTATATCGTTGTTGAGTAATGATCACACCGGCAGCCAAAAAAAGTCGTTCCGTGGAGGTACCGCTTCGTGATGATCTCAACCCGCGAGAAAGCCCGCTTCACTAGTTTGGAAAATATCCCCGCCCCATCCACCAACTAATAGCATTTTTTCTTCAGGGTGTCGTCAGGATTTCGCGCGGGTTCTTTGTCCCCTGTACATCTCTATGTCGGCGTTAGATTAATTGAAAAAAACGTGTTCTGCCTTACTTCTTATATATTTTGTGGATGACCCGATAATTCGTTTTAGTCTTTTTTGTCTCTGAAAATTCGTTTCAGAACTTTTCGTCCCAGAAAATTAGTCTCAGACCTTACAAGGACATGAACCTAATACCTAAAAAGCAGTGTATCGAAAATTAGATGAGCGAATAAAGCGTTTGGTAATGAATTATGATTTTAATTCAGTTGTTGCTTATTTATCTAGGATAGAACCAAATTTATCATTAGCCACAGTACTTTTGATTATAGATTGTCCTTATTTTCAAGTATTGCTCGTTTAAATATAGAGTTTATGAAACGGATGGAATGTTCTTTCTGAATTCTCTGTAACGTAACAAATTTTCTGCAACAAACAGTTCTTAAAACGAATTGTCGGATACATGAAAGACTAAGGCGAATTTTCATCGAAACGAAAAGCCTGAGGCGAATTGTTACAGCATCTATTTTGTGATTATGTGGTGTTCATTTTTTTGCTTATATTAATTATTTATCGAAGATCGCAGCAAACATTTTCTTTTTATTGCTCAAAAACTTTCTAAAAAATGATCTTATCTTCCTTCAGCGTGCTGAGCGTAGCAGTGTGCAGTTAAAGCGGCATATAGTAAAGATAAAGCGCCAGTTATACAAATGCGTATGTTCGGCACCCAAAGAAGAGTGTATGTGTCACTGCTGATATCTGAAAGGTAACTCGATGGTGAAAGTGTAAGATATGAAGAATTCATTTTCTTCGTTGTTAACAGATTCTGCGATTGATATCAAATTAGTTCTACGTAGATTTTTTCATTCTAGGCATTTTGAATTTTCCTTTTTTCTTCTACGGTTTTCCATGACCTTTATTCATGATAAACGACTTTTTCTTGTATGTGAAAGTAAGAGTACAATTTATTTTCCAAATTTACTTAACTATCAGACATCAGACCATCTTGTTAAGATTGCTTTTTGACGGTGATGAGCAATGTCCATTTTATTCATAACATCGAGTAAACCTGTGTTGTTTGATCAAATCCTCTATGTTCCTTACTCTTTATTTATATTTTAGATTCAATAGTAGCGATGACATTCTCATCTTGTTCATTGAAAGTTGTTCGAAATTGTGTCCCATCACTTTTCAATTGTCAGTTAACAAATAAAATACATAAATCAAATGTTATATTTGATAAATGTGACGAGAATGTTGATTGCTTTATGTTTGATAAAAATGACTTAAAAGTTGCTGATTTATTTGAATTAATAATTGGTGCTCATTTGGATTTATTATTTCAAACAAACGTTTGTCTAATGAACATGATGTATCGCTATCGTAATATGTACAAGGTTGAAAGATATCTTGATTTAAAATTAGAAAAATATCGTATATTAACTGGGACAACGGAAAACGATAATATATCAGATAGTTAAATGAATTTATTTGAAAGAGACAAATGCCAAAAAGACATTAGTAAAAGTAGAAGTCGTTTTTTACTGAAATTTTTCTCACGTAAAGAATATAGATATATTGTATAGTTTTCCGTTTTACTTCTATAATACTTGTTAAGATTTACTGTTGCTTCTTGTTGCAAACGAATATTTCACGAAAATTGTACATATACTTTCTCTTTCTATATAAGAATATTAGTAATAATGGTGTCAATTAGCAACGTTTTAGATTTTTTTGTTGAAAACCTATTGTTTTTTTTCTTTTTTTTGTTGGTTCCGTTGATACTAACCGTTTTTTCTTCGCGTGCTTTATATGTAAATAATAGCCTAATTTTGATCTGTCAAATTTTATTATTTGACTCCGCACATTTCTCTTGTTCTATGTACTTCTTACTTTGAGAGGAAAAGCAACGTGCTTCAAAAAATTCTGTTTTCAGTCATGCTGTGTTGTCTACTTTGGATGTAACATGCAAAACGTATTTCACCTATTCAAGGAATTAGCGGAAATATAGTTTTTCATTATCTTAGGGAAGGAGGTAGTGAAATATATCTAAAACTTACCTATATCACATATGAACGACTCTAATGTTCGTTTTTTCTCAATTTTCTTCAGAAAAACAAGTAAAAACTAGACGGCAATCACTCTGTGCGAGACTTACTAATGCGGCGTGAAGCGAAACATTTGCATCACAAGTTTTACTGCATATTTACAATACAATCGTACATATAAAGGTTGTACTATACTAATGACTCATTCATAATAGAAATTACATATATAGATAATGAAGTAAATAACACTGCATTTGAGATCAGCTGTGAAAGTAACATTGCACTATAATGAACATCGCGCCTGTATACTCAGATCAATTACCGTTTTGTTGAAAACTTTCTACGTCCTCGATTTACAATCGACCTACTTTCGGATGCTTCAGACAAGAGATAATACATCCAGAAAGCCTGAAAAAGGAACATTCCCACATTCAGCTACAGGACTCTGTACTCGCTTTTCAACTTTTGACACAGTACTTCAATTCGTGAGAAAATCGTTACAGAAAATGACACATTTTTAAGGGTAGAGGAAAAGAGCTATAATGCGGTATGCTTTACATCACATTAATAGTCTCGGTCATGCACAACAGCTCAAAACAATTTGAGATTAACATCATTTGCATTAATTGTTCAGATATACTAAAAGCGTTCTCACAGGGTGCACTCGTGCCTGGAACAGATAGTAACAAACGAGCAGTTCAACCCAATATTGGTATTTTAGCTTCATTATCATTCCAAAACAATAAAACATCTTGTTTAACTTGTGTTTTGCATCTGATCAGATCGCAATTAATAAATATCAAAATTAGCAGGGAATAAAAACATAAGAACAAAATAGCAGAAATAAGTTCGGTAAAAGAAACTTTACCGGAGAAAAAGTCGGTAAAAAAGTATTTACCGGATCTTCAGTGAAACCTTTTTACCGCTACCGCAGTACTCTCGCTTTCCAGTAAATTCTTCTTAACGTTACTGACGGTAAATTATCGGTTACCGTACATCCTTACTCGAGACGATCTCAAAGTAATTTTTTTCTTTTGTCCTGTAATTATATCGTCGATCGATTGTGGCTATTTGAATGGAAAGGAGGATAGAGCTTTTTGATTACTTTCCAAAATGAAAATTGTTCCAGTACCTACCTGTAGGAAGGTTCATATGATCATGATCATAGGTATAAAACAAAAACATGTATTTTCTCTTCTCGGTTCTCTACTTTTGTGGTGTATATGCCTAGTTTTGCAAAGTTGCTGCCCTTTGTTTATTCTGATGATAACGACTGTAGATCGTCGAAATAACAATAATAAATCAACGTTATTATGATTGAATAATCATGTTTGTAGCAGTGTTATATGCCTTATTAAATTATTTTGTCGTATGCTTCCGTTCATCGCGTACATTCAGACGTCGGTACGAGGTGAAAAATGCTATGTTTTTGGTGTACATACTTTAAGTGTATTTCGTCGTTACTTTGCACTTCTCATAGTTGCTTGTCTGCCAATTAGACACTTTTGTATTTTAGTTTACGCTCGAGGTAAGATTTCCCCTCTCACGTCGGTGTGACTTCAGCGAGTAACTAGTCGATTTTTGTTGACATTTTCATGCCCAATCTAATTTGATATATTCAAACATTGTTACACTTACGTGATTTAGCCACCTGAATTAACTGAACTAATAAATGATAGTGATGATGATGATGAAATATTTGTATTACGTGGCATGCTAGAAGATGGTCAACATAAGTTGTCTAAAAATGAAACTGAAGTGATTTTATTGAATATAAAACTATGAAAAAAGAATGAGTGATGTGAGCAAAACAGATTGAAATCGAATAAACAGGAACGAGTATAGTATACGGAAATTAAACGCTTACATAATGGTGTTTATAAATGTTTAGATGAATTTGAATTTAAAAAAAAATGTAAACATTCATCAACAACAATAAAGAATCTTATCAAAACGGAAGTGAACAGTGACGACGATAAGGATTGCATTCTTATAGTTTTGAATAATTCGTAGTTCTTCAAACACTTATTAGTGGTATGTGTGTGTTCCTTGGATGAGTTTAATACCGTTAGTTTTTTTGGTGTACACATAATCAAAATGCTCTCGAATGTAACTAAGAGTGACTTTTTTGAGCCATGTAGATGTATGTTACTGAGTTTCACTTTTTCGATTATCCTTATTATACATAGAGAGAGAGAGAGAAGTCATCCACTTTTTCTTCGCCATATGTATGTATAAAATTTGTACTCTATTTTGTTTTTGCTCTTACAAAGAGATAGAAATAAATATCAGTTTACATCGTTAAATTCTGAACAAAATAAGGTTCTGAGATATATTTAAAGTGTCAATTCAGAGAAAAACAAGAAACGGATACATATAGCAATTTCTGCTTACAATGATAAACTAGTAAAAATTATTTAATCCATTTCAGAAAAAGAAGCGATGTTAATGTATCGAATAAAGTAAACTATTCGTATTTGATTAATATTTAAAAGATTTTTTTAGATCTTAACTTTGAAAAAATTTCAATTATTATAAATACATTAGCTATTGTACTAAAACTAGCAAAGTTCTATAATTTTGTTTTATTTGGATCGCCAGTATTTCTTTCATTTTTTATTTTTTTTAAATATTTATAATTTGTTAACTGGATATCTATTTAGTTTGTATATATGATAATCATTATATGACAAATACAATAGCTATCTATGGTAGTTAATAACCATGAAATACGGTGGAACAAGGTGGAAAAAAAGTTGAATAAAAAAACATTGATCGCCTCTTTTTCTTTTATTTATGTCTGTCGATATTTGGATTTAAAAATTTTATACCTTGTTCATTAATAAAGATTATGTATCTTAACCATGAAAATATGTATGGTGAGTAATAATTGAAGGCTGTTATGGCAATGTTTAACAAAATAGATAATATCTGATCGACATCTAACATTAATTAAAATATCCCATAACTAACTGAAGCTTTATCATTACGACAGTAGTAGTTATCATCTATCTTCTATAGAATGTTCTTGTTCATTAAATGTATTAGACGAGGTTGATATTTGACTTTGAATGTAACAAAACTGCTTAGTCAAATCACTGATTCGAATACAATTTTAATAAAGTAAGTAGGGTGAGAGTATACACAATGTTTGAAATTTGTTTCTATCAAAAACGAAGTAATTCTAATATAAACTGAACATTTTTTAATTTTATATCATTCTTTGTATCTATTTGACAAAAAAAACAACAACTTTGATTAAGGTTTATCCTATTGAATAACAGGTGTTTTAGAACACATTTTGACGTTCTCTTAAATCGTTAGAGAAATTTTCTAGTGAAAAGTTTTTCTTGTCACATAAACCTCAGATTAAAAGAAGAGGTGTTGGAAATTTTCTAGTGAAATTAGCTCCACACATACACATTGTTTGCATGTGTATAGAGTGAGTGTATTGAAATGTAATAAATACCTAATACGTAGGCATGCTCTCTGACAAGAACAAAGTAGTTTTAATAGAAGAAGAAGAAAAAAATGATATTTGCCGTTATCAAAATGTACAAAAAGGAAATAAGATCGGATTTCAGTCTACTCTTCGTTGAACTATTTGAGTTAGCTTTCTTATTTCTGCTTATTTATTATAACAGTATCGATCGATAAAGAGAAATTTATACAATCTTATAATCCTTGTTAAAACCCGTTGATGATACAGTATAAGAGAACAACAACAGTAACTTGTTAACGTCCTTGTAAAATGAAACGATTGAGATTAGAAAATAGTTTCTTGAAAATAAATGAATAAATCATTCTCTAGTCACCATCGAATCGAGTGTGTAATTAGAAAGTGAATACGTAAAATAACGTAATAGAGTAGAAAAAAGAAGAAGATAAAATAGAAATTATCATTCATATTTTTATTGACCTCGTATATATAGACTCGTAAAGAAGTTGCTATAAAATAGATTATAGACATTTTATTTTTTTAATTACTTAATATAAAAATATTCCTACATTATTTTATTAATCTTAATTTTTATTCTTTTGTTTTCTCCTTCACATTTCTATGATAATTATAGTGACATAATCTCTTTTATTCTATATTGAATTTAATAAATACATTTGACCCCAATATTATACAATCAGTTTCATGATGTTAATTGTAGAGTTCATAGGTTTTTTTTTATTAAAGAATGAAACAGGAAGAAGAAACAATATCGATAAAATTACTTTTTTTGATGCTTCTGTTGTTGTTGTTGTTGCTACTCGACTGTTTTCCTCTTTTATGTAACAGTTGCTTTTTTCTATACATTTTAATAGAGAAAAAGTTTTTTTTCTTCTTCTTTTATTAGCAATAAACTTTTTTTTCTTTTTTTATGACGAACAACCTGTAATAGAAGCCGCAAAACCAGTTGAAAAAAATCCTATCATTATACACT